CTACTAGCGTGGCACTTGTTCCTAGTAGCGATGCACTTGATTCTTCGGGCGGGACTCTCTCATTACACCTGTTACTACTAGCGTGGCACTTGTTCCTAGTAGCTTCTTGTTACAACTCTTCATCCATCCTTCATCCGTCCCAGCGGCATCCAGTGCCACCTGCACCGCCGTGGATGCGCCCGGCGATGCGCCCAGCAGCCCTGCGATGCCCTCGGAGCTGATGACCTGTCCGTCGTTCGAAGGGATCCGTGGAACATGATGGTGTTTTTTTGTGCGGCGCTTCCAAGCCGCTTCCTGTTCCTTGAACATGAGCTTTTCCACAAGACCCACTCTAAGAAGCCGTGGCCACAGGAAAACAAAGAGGGTTCTTCTAAGGAATCGTTGCTTCTACCTCGGTGAAGTCGTCGAACCGGATGCGTCTCCACCCGGTGCTCCACCCACGGGCCTCAGTGCCAAACTGCAGGACACCTGGCGAAACGTTGGAGGTTCGTAGTTCCAAAAGATCCAAAAGGTGTCATTGCAAGAGCCAAGCATCACCATCGCTACGTCGTCGGCGCGTTTGTCCCGATGGGTTCCTGTCGTTCGACCTTCTGCACGACCTGCCGTCGCCTGAAACAGGTGGCGACCTTCGGCTTCCTTTTGGAAGATCCATCGAACGCTTGGGATGTGGAGACCTCTCCACCGTTTTCCACCCCACTTTGGAAAACCCTTTCAAAAGAACAAGCTTTCTTTGGCCGCATGCAGAAAGACCATCCAGCATCGACCGCATCCCTCAATTGAGCAAGCTACAAGAAAAACACCAACCAGCGCCACCTTTTTCAGAAAGAAAGACCAATTTCGCAATGTCAGACTCTTCCACACCTGCAATCACTAGCGGCAACATCGCCAGTTTTTTACGAACACAAACAGGTCCAACAGAGACTCCGAGACCCGCTCTTAGGAAACACAGATCCGCTTTTCAAACACCTCACTTGGGTCGATCGGATGTTGGTCGATGGGACTGGCCTCGTTGAATGGGCTTCGTTCGACCAAAAGAAGGAGATTGACACTCAACGGCAAACATCCGAATCAAGAGAACATCAGTCATGGGGAGAGTTCCCTTTCACCACCTAAGAGCGAAACGAGCCCGGATCTCTTTCGGCTCTTCCATGTCTCCATGTCATGTGCTGAAGACCCACCACCCGCACCACCCGAGCGAAGGAGCCCGCCTATCTTCTTGGGATCTCTCTTCATAATCTGCACCCGCTGCCCGGCGGTCACCAGGCTCCAGTCCTCCGCCTGGCTTGGTTTTGGCGGGTTCACCGGTCATCACGGTGTCGAAAGGCGTCAGTTCCGGGGTGCTTTGACTCGTCTCATCATGGATGTGACGGGGATGACAGGGGTACCTCTAACCACCTCTTCCGAGTTCACCGCCCAACTTCTACGGAACTCCTGGCACATTGACTTGGCATCTTGCTGGACCTCCGCTGCAATTACTTGGCCCGAGAAAGACCCCTTAATCTATATAGTCGTCTCGTCGTTTCCACTGTACTTCTGCTGCGGGAAACGGTTGTCGTGTGGAGTCGTTTCTGCTTCTCACAGCAACTGGACCTTTTGCATCGGACTATCAAGGGCATCGCTACGAGCGGAGCAAGAACGCTACGAACGTAGCTCCTGGCATTTCTACTACTAACAAGAAGCTGCTAGTAACAAAGGGCATCTATCAGGATGGAGGCCCACTTTGAGGCTTTCACAGCTCTGCTCCCTTTGAGGGACTCTGGGGCAAGGCTGGGCAACTCTCTGGGATCTAGTGGAATTGATGCTGCCAATTTGGAAGACAGTCGCTACCTGGAGACATCTTCAAAGTTCATCACAGCCCAGGTGTCACAGCAGGCCGTTTTGGTTGGTTCTCAGAATTCATAAGCCTAGGAACATGTTCTGGAGGTCGAGTTCTTTCCTCACATCCAAAAGGGCCGAAGGCACAGGAACACCAACCGAAAGCGCAACCTCTGGGTGTTGGGTGTATGGAACAACCCTCATGACCCACCACACTCGACGCACACATCCGATCACAACCGTGTCCGCCCTCTAGCACCTATTCTGTCCACTCTGCTTGCCATCCCTCGATGGCGATTCTCGCCTCTGCCTCCGGAAGGAAACTCCGAAGCTCCTGGAGCTTCTGCGACTTCGTCGACAGAAGCCTCGAAGCCACGCAGCTGCCAGCGCAGACCAGGTGCATATGAAGAAAGGCGTGCAAAGATATGTCACGTTCTTTGGCCTTTCTTCAGGATTTTTGGTCTTGGTACCTTTTTGCCAGCGGCACTACCTACGAGAAAGGTGTGATCACTGCTTGATCTTACTGGAATCAGGGTGAAAGATTCAAAAGGGATCAGCCATCCCGGGCATATCCTGCTCGCAGCAGCATTTGTGGATTCCAAGTAGGCCTGGTTTCATTGTGGATTCCGCTCAATTGGAATGTCCCAATTGCTTCAACTTTCTTCCGTCTGAAAGAATGCGCACAAACATGGGATGCTCATGGTTTCACAATCTCAAACAGCTTGGTGAGTCTCCCCATGTGCCCCCTAAATCTGATCCTGTACTTCAAGGTGTGATATGGATACACAATGACCAACAATCTTTATGGTGCTATAATTGTTCAATAGGGCCCCCCACCAAATGCCTTTATGATCTGGAAAGCATGGAACTGAACAACCCTCATACCGAACGATCTTCCACCCGTGCCAACCTTTCTGCCTTTTCATCCCGGTTCGGCAGAAATGCGAGGTGGAATCCAACCAATCCGTCGCTTCCAACCCTCGACGTCGCGGCGTGCGTGGCGCGCTTGTCGTCTTCGTCCACCGTCGCCGTCGCGGCTCGCTCTTCGTCCGCGGGGCTGGCCCAGCAGATATCTCGTCAAGTCGAGGTTTCGCAGCCCCGCGGCCGCCGCGGGCACCACGTTGTGGAGCCTCGACTCGACTCCGTCCAGCGGCCGAGACGAAACGAAAACGGTGGCGAAGACCCGGAAACGGCGACGCTGGGAAAAGGCGAAGAGAAGGAACAACTGCGAGTTCCCTCGGTGTTTTTTTTGCAGAAGCTGACCATGCTTTGGGGGTTTCTGTGTTTTGTTTTGGGGAGACGTCATGAGAGAAGTCATGGCCAAGTTTGCACTTGCCTATAGGTTTTTATTTGTTCCAAATATTTTTTTCACCAAATCGGTCGTGTTTGCGCAAAAACCCACCGGCGAAGGAATAATTTCTTCCGTTTGAACCACGAGTACGAGAGCGAAACCGCTTGAACGCCACCACCGGCCGAGCCCGCCCCAGATTCAGTCAAGATGCTTCAAGGCTCTAAACAAATCCTGGGGCTGTGGATCAGAAGCGAATCCAATCCGGTAGGTCCAAGAGGGGGGACAAGTCGTCCTTGTTACTAGTAGCTTCTTGTTACTAGTAGTACGGCCAGGAGCTCCGTTCGTAGCATCCTTGCTCCGTTCGTAGCGATGCCAGGAGCCCCTAGTAGTGTCCTTGTTGTGCAATTTTTTTATGGACATGGGAACATTCCTGACTGAGGCCATCAAAAGAACAGTACCCATTCCGATTGGACACATAGTCTTCACAGTCTGACCTTTCAGAACACTGGCGCCACTGGCGAAGTCGACGGTCCCAAAGGACTGAAGTCCCTTCGTCCGTCGTCAAGCTGATCGTCAGCTCTAATCAAGGGTTAACCGATGGGGCACAGTGGCTCGCCTTCCTTTTGGTGGGAGACCACGCTGGTGAAGTGAAGGATTCTTGGGACTTAGTTGATACTAATGGCAATGGCCTCCAACCTACTAGCAATGGCCTCCAATGGTGCTCGGGACTTAGTTGATACTTCTTTGTAATCCTCAGCTGTGGCGACTGGACGAAACAAATCACACCCTATCTAAACGAGCTTGCACAAGCTGGAGCCCAAAGAAGTTGTCAGGCTCTTCGTAGCTGAAGGGGCTAATTCTTGGTCCATCCACTGTAAAGGGCGGGCACCGAACTTGGGAACTCTGTGCACGTTCAGATTCCAGTCGCCCACCATTCATTCAAGAGTCCTCCCCGAACAACCTCTGTTTCGGAGTTGACACTGCAGGTCAACAGGACATTCCTATTTTTTCAATGGTCGAACAGAAGCCTAACGTACACACCCTAGAAATCCAAGTACCTTCTGACGCACACCGAGAGTCCATCAAAGAGCCGGTCTTCAGGAACCTTCCGCGGGCGAAGCTGGACGGCACGCCAAGGCGTCAAACGGTTGCCGCGATCTCTCAGTACTTCCGGAAACCGAACAGATTTTCAGTGACATTTTGGCCACTTGTTCTTTTAGGTTCTTTTCATTGGCCAAACTTCATGTCTCGAAGTCTAACCGCACTACGGTTGCAGACGTCTCTTTCCTACGGTAAAAAGAGAGCGTAGCGAAATGCAGCGCACCTTCAGCCCATCCCAACTTGCCGGTTGGCCCTTGGTTTTAACTTTCAGCCTACGGGTGTACCCGGCGCCCCTACTTGCTTCGAAAAGAGGTTGGCCATCTTCTCAACTTCAAAGTCTTGCACGTTTTGGCTGAACACATGCCGTGAGGGTATAGTTGCGCCAACTTGGGCCGGTATCGGCCCCTAGTCGCTAGCAGTTGATGCTGTGATGCCGCTTGTTGGTGTGAATGTACCTACCCGCCTGCCCACTGCATGTTCGTCCGTTGTTTCAAACACATTGCAAGACTAAACATGGCCGTCGGTTTCTTGAAAGCTATGCATCACAAACAGCTGACAACACGTTCGCTGAAGCATGGGAGGTGCTTGCGCCAAATCCGAGGACCTTTGCAGGTTCTCCATTCATCCCCGAGATTTCCAGCAAAGTGTCAACAGCGCTTCCCTTGCACGATCAAGTCACCTGGCGTACCAGGTGTCGGGTTTTTCTGGCGGCTCCCGGTGCACTATGGAGTGCCAAGGTGTGGGCTACCCCAACACCCAGCCCCTACAGCCAGTCGATGCTCTTCATCCGCCTCGAACGGAAACACTTTGAAGGTCCATCCTGCTCTCCAGTCGTGCACCCTGCTCGAACGAGCAACAGCGGCAGCAAGTCTTCCCGTGGAAAAAACTTCCAAGTAGATAAGGCTTGAAATTGACTGCATTGGAGCGTCCTTGCTTCTCAGGAGCTACTAGTAGCTTCCTTGCTCCTAGGCCTCCACCTAATAGCGTCCTTGCTCCTAGGCTTGAAGGATTCAAATCCAACCGCTGGCATCTTTGTTCGACGTGAGCACGCTCGGCATCTTTGAAGCGCTGCCTTAGAGATGGCTCGCCAGTGACGTTTCACCGGCAGCCGCCGTCTCCCTCCATCGGCGTCCCGGTCGCGCGAGCGTACCTGCCTGGGGCTGAACCCGGCGAAGGGCCCAAAAAGCAACATGGGCTTCCCACCGATGACCCGAGCGTCGAGGTGGGGCACCTCGATGGGTTTCGGCGTCGGATGAAAAGATGGAGGTGAGGTGAGAGGAGGCCTGGAAGTGTTTCCTTTTCTTGTTGGGAAAGAGGAAGTTCAAAGAAGGTGTGAAGTTGGAGGTGTTTGGGACCTCTCTTGGACTTTCTGGAATTCTTGAGGGTCTTCGTTCAATCTTTGGACTCAGCGATCAGGTTGATCCAGGCTCCAGGCTTTGGAACAAAGGAGTTGATCCAGCCAAACTTTCCACCTGTTGCACCATCCATGCCATCAGTTTGAGATCACAAACGAATCATACACTTTGGATAAAGAGATCGCAACCTTTCCACCTGTTGAGATTTTTTTTGATGGGGTGTCCGCAAGGACTGGTTGAGCGGCTATCCTCTTTTCCTGGCTAGGCTACTTCCATGTAAGAGCGAAACTTCTATGGGAAATCTTCCGTCTTCGGTGATCTTTCAACACCAACATATTGGGCACCAGCACTGCGCAAGTGGGTCAACGGGAGAAATGACGTCCTTCACCTTTTTCAGCGGAGTCCACTACCTGGTACTGTTCGCTGAGTCCAGCAGTCGGTCGGCATCGGGAGGGTTGAACAAATGCGCACAATTATGTCACACGAAACAAAATGCAGTATAGTAGCTTCTTGTTTCTAATAGCTTCTAAATGTCCATGTGACTCAAACATGTTTGGTTAATTTTCATGAGACGTGAGAAGGAAACACCAGCAATGAGTGACCCGTCACGGTGGCGTCCCGCACCACCAACCACCTCACCGGGTTGGCTTTCAACACCGAAGGCCGAAGGCACGGACATGGGTGGCGCACCAATGGCTGCCTTCCCATAGACCTTGCTCCCATGCTTTGCCACGACCTCCTCAAGTGCATGGGGATGTCATGGGTGTGGTCAAGGGGCATGGCGTTTGTCAAAGGCTTTTCACTTCTTTCGCGAAGGCCACAAGACCGTCCAAGGACCATGTGCAAGAAGAGCCCTCCAACGACCGGGGGTCTTGGTGAGGATTGCTGTCGGTTGTAACACGTGACCAACTGGGGTTGACAAAAGATCTTCTCCCAGGACGAACTTGGACCGTACATAAATAAGGCGCTCTTAGCTCCTCCCTATGACATATACATATATATATATATTATATGGATATCTTTACACACTTATAGGTAGGATCAGTTGCTTTTCAATTGCCCGGCGTGGTTCAAGAACACCCAACCACTTCGGCAAACATTTTCGGCCCAAGAACACATGCTGTGGGCCCCAGATGGAGCCTTCGAAGCTGCCTGTTGTTTGCTTGAGCCTCGATCCCTCCAGGCTCCCCCACCGGATTTTGGCAAACCAGGAACTCCCCGCTGATCCTCGGCGTGGATCACTTGACGCCATGTCACGGTGGTCATAACCAAGTGTGCACATCGTCTGGGTCTAAGGCAACTTCACGACAAAGTGACCTGCCACACCCCATGTCACTCTTTGTAGCTGTCACGGCCAATTCCAGTCCGGTGATAACATCTATGTGGATCAGCCGTGGTCGAATGAAGAAGTTCATTTCGCGTGGGGCGGTCGATTATCACCCTCTTCCAAATTTAATCGCTACGAACGCAGCAAGAAGCTATGAACGTAGCTCCTGGCCATACTACTAGAAACAAGAAGCTACTAGGAACAAGTGCATCGCTTCTAGTAACAAGTGCCTTACTAGAAGTCACAAGGACGCTAGTAATAACAAGAAGCTACTAGTAGCAACAGGGCATCGCTATGGACGGAACAATTCAACAGCTTGGGAGGGAGGACATTCGACCGTGTGAGGTGAGCATCATAAGCATCTTCACGAGCTGCACCCGGAACGCCAAAAAGACATGTCGTTCGTCCAGCTGCTGTGTGGGTTGACGTTAACTCATGAGAATGACCGGAAACCGTTCGCCACATCGGCAAATCCTTCCGGCACTCATTGAGCTCTACCTGGCCACGCCCGCGGTACAAAACATTGGTGGACAGGGTGGAGTCCGCGAAACTGGTCCTGCTGCTTGAAGCAAACACATGCTGCACAAGACACACACACACA